GTGCCCTATATTAAATGGTCACATTTATTTTCACCATTTTACCTTCTATCATTATTACTTTTTTTTTTTAAGGATCAACCATTATTATTTTTTCAATTGTTAGAAATCTACAATTACTAATTACTAATTTTCGTTTCTTTTTCTATTTTGGTTTGTTTCACTTTTAGATTCTTGAATGTTGGAATATTTGGCAATGGAACAGAATCATGTCACACACTACCCCACACAGCAACAAGATCAGCCCTATTGGTTAGGATCAACACCCTCCTCCAAGGCTACTCAGGCATTAGATTTGAGATTTTGGAGGCCATGACAAAGCTTCTCAACAGCAATGTCACCCCGTGCTTGCCGTTGCGCGGCACAGTTACCGCCTCGGGGGACCTTGTCCCATTGTCCTACATCGCAGGGTTGCTCACCGGCAGGCCTAATTCGAAGGCTGTGGGCCCCAACGGGGAATCCCTTACCGCCACCCAAGCCTTTAAGGTCGCGGGGATCAACTCGGGGTTCTTTGAGCTGCAGCCAAAAGAAGGCCTTGCTTTGGTCAATGGTACCGCTGTTGGCTCAGGCTTGGCCTCCATGGTGCTTTTCGATGCCAACATTCTTGCCGTGTTGTCGGAGATCTTGTCAGCCATTTTCGCGGAAGTCATGCAGGGTAAGCCCGAGTTCACCGACCACTTGACGCACAAGTTGAAGCACCACCCTGGTCAAATTGAGGCTGCAGCCATTATGGAACACATTTTGGATGGCAGCTCTTACATGAAGGCTGCAAAGAAGTTGCATGAGATTGACCCTCTTCAGAAGCCAAAACAAGACCGCTATGCTCTTAGGACATCACCACAATGGCTTGGACCCCAAATTGAAGTGATCAGATTCTCAACCAAGTCCATTGAGAGGGAGATCAACTCGGTGAACGACAACCCGTTGATTGACGTCTCGAGGAACAAGGCCTTGCACGGCGGCAACTTCCAAGGGACCCCAATTGGAGTTTCCATGGACAACACACGTTTGGCCATTGCCTCAATTGGGAAGCTCATGTTTGCACAATTCTCTGAGCTTGTCAATGACTTTTACAACAATGGATTGCCTTCGAACCTCTCCGGTGGCAGGAACCCGAGCTTGGATTATGGCTTTAAAGGCGCTGAGATTGCCATGGCTTCTTATTGCTCTGAGCTCCAATACCTTGCCAACCCTGTCACTAGCCATGTCCAAAGCGCTGAGCAACACAACCAAGATGTGAACTCTTTGGGATTGATCTCTTCGCGCAAAACCGCGGAGTCAATTGACATTCTCAAGCTCATGTCCACCACATTCTTGGTGGGTCTATGCCAAGCCATTGACTTGAGGCACTTGGAGGAGAATTTGAAGCAGACGGTTAAGAACACCGTGAGCCAAGTGGCGAAGAGAGTGCTAACAACCGGCGTAAATGGAGAGCTTCACCCGTCGAGGTTCTGCGAGAAGGATCTCCTCAAAGTGGTGGACAGGGAATATGTCTATGCCTACATTGATGACCCCTGCAGTGCTACCTACCCGTTGATGCAAACATTGAGGCAAGTACTCGTCGAGCACGCGCTGACAAACGGTGAAAGCGAGAAGAACACGAGCACCTCAATCTTCCAAAAGATTGCAGCCTTTGAGGAGGAGCTGAAATCCCTTTTGCCTAAGGAGGTGGAGAGCGCAAGGATCGCTTATGAGAACGGGAACGCCGCGATTTCGAACAAGATCACCGAGTGCCGGTCTTACCCCTTGTACAAGTTTGTGAGGGAGGAGTTGGGGACTAGTTTGCTAACAGGTGAGAAAGTTAGATCACCAGGGGAGGAATTTGACAAGGTTTATACTGCCATGTGCCAAGGCAAGCTTATTGATCCAATGTTGGAGTGCCTTAGTGGCTGGAATGGTGAACCTCTTCCAATCTGTTAGTGTTGTTTTTTTTTTATTCCTTTTTTTCTTTTGGGGCTGAATTTGAATGTTGGTCTTAATCATATTTGTATGTGTTCTTAAAAATGTTGATGGAGATTGTCAACAAAGTGTGTGACTCATGAAGTGTTGTAAAACCAATCTTTTGTTCTTTGCGATCTCTTGTAATTTTTCCCCTTTTTTTCCAATGTATGAAATAGCCTTCAGTTCCACAACGACTAATATATGTTTATACATTGAAACTAAACTTTGGACTTGATTGGCCCCGCTAGAGAGCTACTTTTCCGGTCACATTTAAAGTGAAAAAAGATGAAAGGAAGAATTTCCTTTTGAAGGAGAGGCGCGCTGCGGTAAATGTAACATTTTTTGTATGGATTTATAAATTTTTAGCATAAAATAGTAACATTAAAATAAGTTTACTTTAATATGTGAGTAGAGTACATTTTATTAATTGTTATACATGATAAACAAAATGAGTGTTACACAAATAGTATAAAAGATATTAAAATGAAGAATAAAAAATGTTAAATTTACTGGACCGGTACTGGACCGGAGACATCTTCCCAAGGAGAAGAAACGGAAATCACATAGTTATTATAGTTAAGAGTATAGGCATATTGGCATTAATGAAATTGTCAGTAAACTTGCATGATTACAAAAAAATGAAAATTAACTCGGTAAGTTGGTGGTGTTTTTTCGATTATACTGAATTTCACTGTCCAAAAGATTTTTCAATTTCAAGCCCATTGATGATGAGTTTTTGCCCTTTTTTGGGGTAAAATCCTTCTTTCTTTTTTTTTTTTTGCTCCTTGCCATAGTAAAAAAAAAAAAAAAAAAAGTAATTCCCTTCTATTTGGCAAAATTTATTGGACTTTCACAGTTCATCAATCGTGCATTAAGCTACAAATGACTACTGACTAGACTTCAGTTGAATTCACTCGCGTTCCCACTTTGTTCCATGTGTTGGGCTGGACTTTTGGGATTGACTTCGGAACAAACTATAGTAAAAATATTGGGCCGTAGAAAGCCACATACGATTAAGCAGGCCTCTATTTAGAACCAAATCGAAAGGCCCAATCTAGAACCCAACTTAAATAAAGGATAGAACACCTAAAAAAATTAAAATAAAGCATAGGGAACAAATGTTCCATTAGCAAAAATAAACAAAAATAAAAATCCCAATTTTTATTTTTTTAGTTTTTAAGACGGTTAGTCCTTGAATTATTGCATTTTATTTTTTAGTCTCTGAACTTTTAATATTAACAAATTACTCTTTAAATTTTAATTTTTGACCATTTTAATCCCTACAAACTAAAATTAGCGATGAATTTATGAAATTTCATAGAGATCATCACATTTTAAATCTATAATAACTGAAATTTTTACAGAAATAATTACATTAAATATTAAATACTACCTTTATTATTATTATATACCATTAAAAACTAGTTCATTTTGCATTTGATATTAGTGTTTTTGTAAAAATTTCAATTACTTTTTCTCCCAGACATGATTATGATCATCTTCGAGAAATTAAATAAGTTATTTGTCAATTTTAGTGTGTATTGTGTAGGAACCAAAATGGTTAAAACTAAAAATTTAGAGATTAATTTATTGAAATTAAAAATATAGAGAACAAAGTGATACAATTGAGATAGTAATAACTTATTACTAAGAGCATTTTTATGATCATCATGAGACACCAAAAAAAAAAAAAAAAAAAAAAAAAAGATCCAAACGTACCCCGCTACTTACTTTTACCGACAAATATTCGTCAAGTTTCCGTCGATTTGCTTACATTTTCCAAAAAAAAAAAAAAATTAAAAGAACGAAACTTTACATCAATTAGTTAAAGTTACGGTGAGGGTTAATGTTAGTTTTCCACATGTATGGAATATTTGACTATTAGGTTAGTATTAACTATTAAGTAATGGCATGTACGAAATTTTGTTTTTGCCCTTGCAATCCCCACCAACCATGCATTTCCTCTCTCTCTCCTCTCTCTCTCCTCTTTCCTTCCCTAGCTCCTTCCCACCATGCACCCCAGCAGCCACGCAGCCAAATCACAGCCGTTGATCTTTTTCTCTGACATCGTACGACCATTATTTATTTTCAACCAACCCTCCCTTGTGGCTACTCTCTCTTCCTCTTCTCTTGTGCTCACCTACCAAACCCCCCCAAAAGCCATAGAGCCATCATCTTTGACAACCCCCAACACTCTCTCCTCCTTATTTAAACCCCCACCATTCTCCTTCCACTTCCCAGGAAATCCTTACTACCCATAAAGACCTTTGATTTCCTCTCTCTAAACTCTCTCTCTCTCTCTAGCTCCAACATCTCCATATTATATATACACACACAACTCTTAAAGCACTTCCCACACAAATGGAGACGGTTGTGAGCAAGCAAAACGGGCACGTGCAAAACGGCGTGTCGCTGGAGGGAATCTGCACGAGCAGCGGCAACAATGGGGGCGTCGTTTCCGGCGACGCACTGAACTGGGGAGCGGCGGCGGAGGCGATGAAGGGGAGCCACTTGGAGGAGGTGAAGAGGATGGTGGAGGAGTACCGTAAGCCGGCGGTGAACCTCGGAGGGGAGACTTTGACGATATCGCAGGTGGCGGCGATCGCCTCGCACGACTGCGGCGTCAAGGTGGAGCTGTCGGAGGCCGCCCGGGAAGGCGTCAAGGCCAGCAGTGATTGGGTTATGGAGAGCATGAGCAAGGGCACTGACAGCTATGGTGTCACCACTGGCTTTGGCGCCACCTCCCACAGGAGGACCAAGCAAGGCGGTGCTCTTCAAAAGGAGCTCATTAGGTATTTACTATTTTCTTTCTTTTTTCTTCCTCTTCTTCTTCCCTGCATGATAAGACGTTGCACGTACGGCACATAACTCACAATAATAATATAAGATGCGTGAAATCTATGTGTCTCTTAGTGGTTTTTTTTTTCTTTTAAGGTGCAAAGACTCCCAAGTATTTTCAAGTACGGATTTTTTATATTGTCGTTTTCCTATGTAAGATATGTGAAATTCCAGTAAAAACATAATTATAATTATAAGGACGTTTCTTTGAAAATAATTTCGATTTATATATTTTTTAAGGAAGGTTTAGCAATTATGTCTCGACAAACCTACCATAATTATTATCGTCTCTTCTATAGTTTGCAATTATTTCTAGAGACAAGCACGTGCCCTATATTAAATGGTCACATTTATTTTCACCATTTTACCTTCTATCATTATTTTTTTTTTTGAAGGATCAACCATTATTATTTTTTCAATTGTTACAAATTTACAATTACTAATTTTCGTTTCTTTTTCTATTTTGGTTTGTTTCACTTTCAGATTCTTGAATGCTGGAATATTTGGCAATGGAACAGAATCATGTCACACACTGCCCCACACAGCAACAAGATCAGCCCTATTGGTTAGGATCAACACCCTCCAGGTGCAAAGACTCCCAAGTATTTTCAAGTACGGATTTTTTATATTGTCGTTTTCCTATGTAAGATATGTGAAATTCCAGTAAAAACATAATTATAATTATAAGGACGTTTCTTTGAAAATAATTTCGATTTATATATTTTTTAAGGAAGGTTTAGCAATTATGTCTCGACAAACCTACCATAATTATTATCGTCTCTTCTATAGTTTGCAATTATTTCTAGAGACAAGCACGTGCCCTATATTAAATGGTCACATTTATTTTCACCATTTTACCTTCTATCATTATTACTTTTTTTTTTTTGAAGGATCAACCATTATTATTTTTTCAATTGTTACAAATTTACAATTACTAATTTTCGTTTCTTTTTCTATTTTGGTTTGTTTCACTTTTAGATTCTTGAATGTTGGAATATTTGGCAATGGAACAGAATCATGTCACACACTACCCCACACAGCAACAAGATCAGCCCTATTGGTTAGGATCAACACCCTCCTCCAAGGCTACTCAGGCATTAGATTTGAGATTTTGGAGGCCATGACAAAACTTCTCAACAGCAATGTCACCCCATGCTTGCCGTTGCGCGGCACAGTCACTGCCTCGGGGGACCTTGTCCCATTGTCCTACATCGCGGGGTTGCTCACCGGCAGGCCTAATTCGAAGGCTGTGGGCCCCAACGGGGAATCCCTTACCGCCACCCAAGCCTTTAAGGTCGCGGGGATCAACTCGGGGTTCTTTGAGCTGCAGCCAAAAGAAGGCCTTGCTTTGGTCAATGGTACCGCTGTTGGTTCAGGCTTGGCCTCCATGGTGCTTTTCGATGCCAACATTCTTTCCGTGTTGTCGGAGATCTTGTCGGCCATTTTCGCGGAAGTCATGCAGGGTAAGCCCGAGTTCACCGACCACTTGACGCACAAGTTGAAGCACCACCCTGGTCAAATTGAGGCTGCAGCCATTATGGAACACATTTTGGATGGCAGCTCTTACATGAAGGCTGCAAAGAAGTTGCATGAGATTGACCCTCTTCAGAAGCCAAAACAAGACCGCTATGCTCTTAGGACATCACCACAATGGCTTGGACCCCAAATTGAAGTGATCAGATTCTCAACTAAGTCCATTGAGAGGGAGATCAACTCGGTGAACGACAACCCGCTGATCGACGTCTCGAGGAACAAGGCCTTGCACGGCGGCAACTTCCAAGGGACCCCAATTGGAGTTTCCATGGACAACACACGTTTGGCCATTGCCTCAATTGGGAAGCTCATGTTTGCACAATTCTCTGAGCTTGTCAATGACTTTTACAACAATGGATTGCCTTCGAACCTCTCCGGTGGCAGGAACCCGAGCTTGGATTATGGCTTTAAAGGCGCTGAGATTGCCATGGCTTCTTATTGCTCTGAGCTCCAATACCTTGCCAACCCTGTCACTAGCCATGTCCAAAGCGCTGAGCAACACAACCAAGATGTGAACTCTTTGGGATTGATCTCTTCGCGCAAAACCGCGGAGTCAATTGACATTCTCAAGCTCATGTCCACCACATTCTTGGTGGGTCTATGCCAAGCCATTGACTTGAGGCACTTGGAGGAGAATTTGAAGCACACGGTTAAGAACACCGTGAGCCAAGTGGTGAAGAGAGTGCTAACAACTGGCGTAAACGGAGAGCTTAACCCGTCGAGGTTCTGCGAGAAGGATCTCCTCAAAGTGGTGGACAGGGAATATGTCTATACCTACATTGATGACCCCTGCAGTGCTACCTACCCGTTGATGCAAACATTGAGGCAAGTACTCGTCGAGCACGCACTGACAAACGGTGAAAGCGAGAAGAACACGAGCACCTCAATCTTCCAAAAGATTGCAGCCTTTGAGGAGGAGCTGAAATCCCTTTTGCCTAAGGAGGTGGAGAGCGCAAGGATCGCTTATGAGAACGGGAACGCCGCGATTTCGAACAAGATCACCGAGTGCCGGTCTTACCCCTTGTACAAGTTTGTGAGGGAGGAGTTGGGGACTAGTTTGCTAACAGGTGAGAAAGTTAGATCACCAGGGGAGGAATTTGACAAGGTTTATACTGCCATGTGCCAAGGCAAGCTTATTGATCCAATGTTGGAGTGCCTTAGTGGCTGGAATGGTGAACCTCTTCCAATCTGTTAGTGTTGTTTTTTTTTTATTCCTTTTTTTCTTTTGGGGCTGAATTTGAATGTTGGTCTTAATCATATTTGTATGTGTTCTTAAAAATGTTGATGGAGATTGTCAACAAAGTGTGTGACTCATGAAGTGTTGTAAAACCAATCTTTTATTCTTTGCTCTCTTGTAATTTTTCCCATATTTGAAATAGCCTTCAGTTCCACAACGACCAATATATGTTTTATACAATATTGAAATTAAAATAAATAAATAAATAAAGAGCATTCATGTGAATCACAAAAGAGGAAGGAATCTAATCATTGTCAATATCCCTACATGGTTTAATGGGTGTAAACAAATTGAAGATTGTGACTGCTTTAGAAAAGGAAGACAATTACAAGACTTGATTGTGGAGTTGAAATGAAATGGTTATGGGACAGTTAGGTCTCATATATGGCGTATCACATTCTCCTGTTTAAATTTTGTGTTTCAATTGGTGTTTAACCAATCATATTATGACACATCAAATAAAAAATTTTAAATTACTTTTTAAATAATTCTTTTGTGTTTGTCATGTGATGATGTGTATGTCTTGTATGAATTATGAATGGAATGTTTGTTTTAAGAATTCATTTTTGGTTCTGAATCATGATTATTGATTTTCTATAGTGTTTTTCTCTCACAAAAAATTTGAATTTCAAAAATCAAAATCATAATTCATGATTCTGAACCTATAAACTAAACGTCCCAGAAATCAAGATGATCTTTTTTAAATACAAATAAGGAAAGAATCTTATTTGCACAAGTTCTAGTTTTGGGTGCCATATTTCCTGATCTGTCTCAAATACTATTTAACACACACGCACATAATTATATTTATGAAATCAATACTTGTCACCTGGTGAAATAAAAACAAGGGAATATTTTGACCTTGCGAATTTTAGGGTTTATAAAATAATTAGCCAAAATGTGCTGATATTTTAATTGAAGGTCGGCGTTATTTTCAAAATTTAGAATTGCACGCCAAAGGAGACCTTTTAGGTAGAGCTGAATTGTCATTATTGAAACCAACCGTGACAAATTAGTTATCTTCTAAGATCATATATCATGAAACCGTAAGCAGAATATGAGCATTCAAATGAGCTGAGAGTTAAAGAAGTATATAATATACATATGCATAGATAAATAAATATATATAGAGACGTATTTTTAATGACTACGTTTTTATTGATGGTCACTTTTAAATATAAGAGTTTGATGACATTGCAAGATAAAAATATAATATCATTAATTATCATTAATTTTTTTCAATTAACTATTTAATTTTTTTACAATCGTCAAATTAATATCTTATGAATAAAATAATAATATTCATTGATGAATAAATATTAGAATAATTATTAAAATCACACCTATATGTGTGTATATATATGTACATATAGCTAGGACCTAGGAGACCCAACAAATTGCCTTGCAGAAAAATCATGCATTGCTAAAAATGGAAATCTTTTATTGTACTTTTAACTGATGCGTACTTTGGGTTGGTAACTTTTGCAGCAAATTCTAGCTCAAAATCACCAAAAAGGTACCTTAGCACACTGTAGTAATAAAGAGAGGATCCACACATAATGAATGTGTAAATACCTATACAGTAAAGTGCACGCTAAATATAAAGTTGTCACATGACAGAATCTAAGTAAAGTTCTACATATATTGCCATTTATATGTAATATTGTCATAAATTAACGTTTATGAGAGCTTTTTACTGTCATTAATTTGAGTTGAGATGTGATGTTGTGTGAGAACTTTTTACTGTAGTAAAAAAGTTAGATGTGACTGTTTCTGAGAGTTTTTTACTGTAACAAAACTCGAATTCTAAATTCGAATTAGCGAAATGAACAGGATCGTAGACATATATTGCCATTTATATATAATATTGTCATAAATTAACAAAATCACCTTAGTACTAATGCTCTAATTAAAAAAGCAATATTGTTCCCAGAGCCCACAATGATAGTGTGATTTCAAAGGGAATTAGCTAGCTAAAATCGTATTCTAGTACTTTAGGTTATAGCATTTATACGTATGGAACTTTGCTATATGACGACACATGCAAGAGCGGAGCCAGAAAATTAAATTAAAAATGAGCTGCAACGGCCGTCTACCTTAAAAAAAAAAAAACACATAGCTGTAAATTAAAAAAGAGTGAATTACGGATATATAATTTTGATTTGTAAACGAGGGTAGATATATATATATATATATGTATTTCAAGATTTTAAAAGGGTAAATTACATATTTTAACAAAATACACACAAAACTAAAATAAAATAAAAAAAAAGAGCTGTAACGGCCGTCTACCCTTAAAAAAAAAAAAGTATAGCTCTGCTCCTGAACACATAGCTACACATGATATTCTTGTGATCATTTTTCCAGTCAGTCCATTGGAAATGTACTTTCGAATATTATATGCAGTTATCACGTTCATTAGTTTTCATTTGCTTATCCCCTGTCAAATTATATTGTCGATCACGGAGTGAGATACTTTTCCCCTTTTTATTTGCAATTCTTATGATGGACATCTTTTTTTTTTTTAAATTTTAATTGCCATTATTGGGATTTTTTTAGTACTCAAAGCATACGTGTTGGGATCTTTTCATTGTAAATAAAAAATCCAAAGAGTGAGGGATATATAAATAATATAATGTCGTCTAATCAACATTGAGGGGGGAATATACCCTCATATAAATTCACACTTTTAACTGCACGTACGTCTACACCCCAGATAGGAGAGAAATTTAACCAAAAAAAAAAAAAAAGAGTATGGGTTATCGTAGACAACCTATACAGAGATGCATGGTCTCTTTTATTAATGTCATGTTCATTTCACCGATTTGTGTTTTATTACAGTAAATAATTATAAAAAATAGTCACATCTAACTTTTTTACTACAGTAAAAAGCTTTCACATAAAGTTACATCTCAACTCGAATTAAAAACTCAAATCAGTGAACTAAACGAGCCATAAAAACAAGGAATTCAGTAGGGTCGAAATTCTCCACTAGGACCACCTCACGGTAGGAGAGTAGTTTAACCTTAAGAGTTAAATTAGACGGTGCTTATAATAGAGTGTGATAGTACAGTGCAATCACTTATTTTGAAGAATCCAATTTCAATACGATACGAACCTTCAAATGTGACGAATGGCCTTGTGAGACTTATAATGAGCGTGAACAAAAGTAAATAAGGTTTAATGAACGCTTAACCCCTTCCTCAACTAATTTTTTTCTTAAAAATATATGTGTATAAATATGCCATTTATCGTATCATACTCTCTATGAAACATTAAAATTTAATCTTATAATCTTATTATTATTATTATTATTATTATTATTAACCCCATTGATTGAAGTTTATGGCTTCATATAACATTAAGATTTAATCTTGTATTCTTACTATTATTGTTTTAATTATTGACCCCATTATAAGAAGTTATGACTTCATATATATATATATATATACATATATATATATTGTTGACGGTGTTTTTCTGACAACTCGCAATTACCTCTCCGATAACACTCACAGTGACACTCACAGATTAATTAAGGATTAAAGCTGAAAAATAATGTAAAGGAGATAGAGATTTATAGTGGTTCAGCAAGAATTCTTGGCCTAGTCCACTTGTGGATGCACTAATCTTTCAGAGATTACAAGTTCTTTTCTGAGTAATGTAATAGTGCATAACCCCTTCAATGGGGTTTCGTGGCTCTATTTATAGACCTTTACATATGAGAGATCTCCCTTGCATTCCCCGAGGAGATCATCTCCTATCCCTGAATTTTGGAATTGTGCAGAAGTATTTTCATGATTGCAAACTCAGGAAATCAAGCCAACCTCTCACCGGCTACCTGATTTCCTGACTTCGACAGTAGCAGTTGGCACAATGTATCATTCCCTGAGTTGACAAGACTATCGTTGGATTTGACTGGACTCCTGCCTCGACGTCGCGGCCACCACAAGTCAGGCGAGGTGCTCGACGTCTGTTATCCTACATGGGCTCTCAGCATCCAAAGGGCACCTTAACTACAGTGGTTCCCTCGACACCAGTGACCGATCCTCGCCGAGGAGGCCTCATTGCGATGTCGCATTGCGATGTCCTTGACTATGCAGCGTCGAGAACACTACGTGGCAACTTCCTGCAGGTAGTGGCGGCCGCTTGTCGGTACAGTGCATCATTGTAGTTAGTTTCTCGGGCAATGGAGCAGTCACATCAATCGTGTCAATAGTCACGTCCCCTCTGCCCTGAGACCACGTGGCAATTGGGGGATGAGTTTCAGCCGTTTGATCAAATTCATTTCCGTTCTCCTCTCCCCGACCGTTAGATCGCGCCTTTTCAGATTCACCGTTAGATTAAGTTGAATTAGGTTCAACGGTCGAGATTTAAGGTCCTTTGGGCTTCTCGGGGACTTCAGGGCTTCTTCCCCAGGTGTATATATATACCCCCTACCACAGTTTCTCGGTCACCTGATTTTCAGAACGCCGTTATTCTGCCGGATTTCCACCAGAAGTTCCTGCTTCTGTGCTCTCTTCCTGTGCATTGTTCACCTTCGTCTCCAAGTTCAAGACTCTTCAGAAACTAGTAAGTCTTTGTTCCCTTTGCTCTATCTTTGTGGGTCTGGTTCCAGCACCTATAAAACTAAGCTAAATCGCATTGTTAAAAAGAAGATGCACTTACTTGGTGTTGCTAACAAACTTGGTCCTGGGTTCTTGGGACCCTGGCGTGAGTTTTTTTATTTTTATTTTTTTATTTTTATCTTCGTGTCCATGGAGCTCTAGTGTTAGAGTCCTAGCTCTAGGGCCTCTATGGTCTGAGCGTATTCTTCATTTCTTCTTGCACTACACTTTTGACCTCTCGACCGCTAGGAGCTAACTCGACCCCTTTGTTTGTTTATTCCCAAAATATGTCGCCAAAGCAGGTTAGAGGTCGAGAGGTCTCCACACCCAGGGTTAGGGATGACCCTGAAGAGGTTGCAACGTCGAGTACGTCTTTGGCCGACAGTGAGGATTCCCTGCTCCGTCAGGTGGATGACTACCCCGAGGGGTCGCTCGCGTCTTCTCGGCCGAACGAGCTCATCTTCCTTGACGATGAGGACGAGGGCCTACAGATTGGCCCTGGTCGAGACCATTGTTATGGGGTGGAGTCGACCAGTGGCATCATTGGGATGGTGACT